CGGGGCGTCCTCTCTCCTCGTCCAAGACCTGTCGGAGTCCGACCTCTCGTCCACCCACTCCTCACCTGGAATGTGCTCCTCCTCCTCCTCCTCCTCCTCCTCGTCCTCATCCTCGACGTCCTCGCCCTCGTCCTCCTCCTCGTCGACCTCCTCTGCATGCCCCAATCTCTGCACGGACCTCGATGTCGATGGGCCGGCTCGATCGTGGCGAACAGTGGTGCTGCCCACCGCGGAACCGGCGCCCCCGATAGCAGGCTCGTGGTCGTCAACGGCCTCGGTGACATTCGCCATGTCACCCTCCAGGTCCTCGTCCTCCCAGTCAGCTGAGAGCCCCAGCCACCCTCCTGCTATCGTGGGCCCGTCTTCCCCCCTGCTCTTCAGCCTTAAGCTCCAGTGCGAGTACACCAACTTGTTGGTGCGCTGGTGGTGCAGCTTGTTCCTGCACTTCATCTGCACGAGAGCCCAAGTGCTCCAGTTCCTCTCAGCAGGAGAGGAAGTCGTCCATATCGACAACACTCCGGTGGCCAGCTCACGAATCTCTAGATGCCCCGCCCCATGCGCCTCCCACCACAACACCGCAATGTCCTTCGCAGCCCGTTTCTTTGCTTGAGGGGTGCCGAGGACTCCTCGCCCGAACTGGAAGTCGTAAAGTTGGTCCATGCAATCATCGAACCTCGTACTCCCCTTTTTCCCGATGAGCCTCTCGACCACACTCTCAAACTGTGTCATGAGGTCGACATTACTGAAAACAGTAATGTCCCTCAACTGAGGATCCAAGAGCCGAGCCACAGCGTGGATGGGGCTGAGCAACATATCCGTCCTGTTCCCTGTGTCCCTGAGGATGTCCTCTCGCTGCTCTGCACTGATGGGGGCCGATCGAACGAAGCCGGGCAGCCGACACGCCATATCGTAGATGCGTGACAAGCAGTGGACATCTTTGTCCACCTCTCGCAACACATTATAGGGCTTCTTCATGACGGCAGCCAACTTCCTGACATCGGTCCAGAAGACCCTGTCGAGAACTGTTTCCTCCACGAAGAAGGCCTTGGCCCTGATGTCCCCTCGCCAGACCTGCACCTCCCACTCCTGCCCAGTGACAATGCGTCTGATCGCCTTCTCGCAGACCTCCAACCGCTGCAGCATCACGTAGTGCATCCCAAATCTCGTCTGCGCCGGTCGGAGGAGACAGCTGCATTTCAAGTCCGGGAACTTGACAAGTGCAGTTCTCAATGCCGATATGGGCCACCTGTGAACCCGGAAGAAGTTCACCACTCTGTTCGCCTTGCTGATGATCTCAGCCGCCCGCTCCTTCTTGCAAATGTTGTGCAGGAGGAGGTCCATGCAGTGAGCGGTGCAAGGCAGCCAATAGATCTGGCTGAACTCGGGGTCCTCCCTCAACATCTTGGCAGCACTCGTGTTGCCCGCAAAAGAGTCCGTGCAGATGGTCGTGATCTTTTCCACCCCCACCTCCCTGAAGAACCGCTTCCATCCAGCCACGACAGCTGCGGAGTCCTTGTTCCCCCTCACTGACATCCTCGCACTTGATGAAAACAGGCTTCGACCGGCCTGCGAGGATGTAGTTCATAAGCGATCGACCACAGATGTCTGTGGTCCCATCGGTTATGAACGTGCAGCCCGTCACCTCCCAGTCGTCCCGGATCACTTGCTCCTCTTCCTCCAACCTCTTGTTCAGGCGATCCAGGAGCCGACACCTGAGGGGGTTGTACCCAGTAGGCACAAGAGGATGGTTCGTTGCATGCTGTGGCCCATAACACGCTCGTGTGAACTTCTTGAAGCTCCTGCTCTTCGCCGCGTTGAACGGGATCGCGTTCTCCACGAAGAACTCGCAGCAGGAGTCATCTATCTCCTCCTGCCTTGGGTTCTTCACATACCTCTTGATGCTCGTCTGCCTCCCCGTTCTCCGTGCATGGGCCCCCTGCATCACAGCCTGCGAGGACGCAGGCCTCCCTCCACCGGCGGATCCTCCAGTCACAACTCCCCTCGTCCCCTCATCCAATCCCTCCTCACCCTCCGCACCACATGCTTCCTCTAGCTGATCAGCAATCCCACCTCCCCCCTCCTCTCCAGCACCTGACGCGTTAGGAATGTCGTCGTCGTCGTCGTCCCTTTCGTGCTCCAACGCCATCCGCACCCTCTCTAGCAGATCCGGTGGAAGCTTCGCACCGATGCGATGCAGCCCCTTCCAAATGGAGAGGTTCACACCTGGACATCTGGCCGACGCCCTCGCCAGGATGAAGTGCTCTGCTGCACGCTGCCGGTTCCCTTTGTACTCCTTGTTGCAGAGCTTGCAACGCAGTCTTCTCGCCCCGCGAGAATTGCCTGGCAGCATCCGCCCGGAAGTCACCCAAGTCCACACAACATGGTCCCTTGGGCAGGCCGTGTCCTCCTCGAATGGCCCCTCCGCCCTGTCCGCCATGTCACCCGATGGTATGCGCCCCAAGCGACAATGTGGGGGGCGCAAACGCGCAGCTGGTACACCGGGAACTGCAAATCCGGTGGCACGTTCTCACAAGGCAGTTGCTTATATGGCACCTGCTGACGTGGCAGTTCCTGCTGACGTGGCGACTGGTGGGCCTGTCTGCTGACGTGGCGGATGCTGTGTCACCTGCTGACGTGGCAGCAGCTCACGTGGCAGCTGCACATCCTCCAGCGGCCGTGGCAGCTGCACATCCTCCAGCTTACGTGGCACCTGCTTACGTGGCACCTGCTGACGTGGCAGTTCCTGCTGACGTGGCAGTTCCTGACGTCGCGACTGGTGGGCCTGTCTGCTGACGTGGCGGCTGCTGACGTGGCGGCTGCTGACATGGCGGATGCTGTGTCACCTGCTGACGTGGCAGCAGCTCACGTGGCAGCTGCACATCCTCCAGCGGCCGTGGCAGCTGCGGTCCTGCGCATGCACGAATGGGGTTCACGGGTGTGAGAAACGAAAATATGTAAAAAATAATAATAAAAAAATTGGAGGATGAAGAGGCGAGAAGAAGAAGAAGAAGAGGAGGATGAGGAGAAGAAAAGGAGGAGGAGGAGGAGAAGAAGAAGAAGAAGAAGATGACGAAAGGAGGAGGAAGATGAGGAAGAGGAGGAGGAGATGAAGAAGAAGAAGAGGATGAGGAGAAGAGGAAGATGGCGATTTCTTCTCCTCATCCTACTCCTCTTCTTCTTCTTCTTCTTCTCCTCCTCCTCCTGCTCATCTTCTTCCTCCTCCTCATCATCTTCTCCTCCTCCTCTTTTCCTTCTTCTTCTCGTCCTCCTTAATGAGTCCTCATCTTCTCCCTATCCTCTTCGTCGCCATGTTGTCCGCCTGAGGAAAGGTCCCGCGTGCTGACGTGGCAGCCGCATGACGACAGCGAACATGACGGGGAAGAAGACAACGAGGAGGAGGAGAAGGGGAAGAAGAAATAGAAGATGACAAAAGGAGGAGGAAAATGAGGATAAGAAGAAGATGGTGAGAGAAAGAAGAAGAAGAGGACGACGAGGAGGAGAAGAAGAAGAAGAAGATGATGATGAGGAAAGGAGGAGGAGGAGAAGACGATGACGAGGAGGAGATGAAGAAGATGACGAAGACGAGGAGGAGGAG